TATAACTACAGCATGTCAACCCAACTCGCTCTCAAAATTTGGTTGTGACTCCTAATGCCCAACAGTTACACAATGCGGTTGTCACTCTCTTTCATAACCAAACTGTGCCATATTCTGCTGAAGAGCAAAGTTTTATTCTACCTTTAAATGTTGATAAGCTTATTTATTTTAATATCATAACTATGCATGCTTATATGATTAGCTTTTATTGGTGTGTTTGTAGAGATAGATAGATAGATAGATAGATAGATAGATAGATAGATAGATAGATAGATAGATTTTTTAAACTACCATTTTTTTAAGTAGTGTTTCGATTACTGATTATTAATTTATTATATTATCACAAAAACTGTGGTGGCCGCAAGAAGACAGATACGTTGCATGAGACAAACCTCAGCAGCCCGGTTCTGAAAATTCTATTAATATTATAAATTTCCGCTTAAAAATGATTAAATAATTTTATAGTGCATTTAGGATTGTTTTTCTCTGCTCTCCGCCTATCAGAACAGAAGTGCGAACCACCGGTTGAGATCCGATTCTGGTCTAGATTACTTATCTGAGTGTTTCTTCAGCAGTCTATGGCGAAGTTGCAGAATGGTGCCGGTGGAACACCGGAGCTGTTTTAGTGGTCACTGCCCCTTTAAGAGAACGCGCTCTAGGGTGGCGCTTTCCTCCGCAAGGGCTTCTTGATATTAATAGTGTTGGTGTCTTGAAACTGACGTAATGCTTGGAGTCTGAGGTCCTGACAAGCGATAACATTTCTGATAAAGAACTGAGATCACTGCAAAAACCAACCTCCTTTTTTCCATCCCAGACTCAGGCGTTTTTACTATTAAACACAGTCTCCCAAGATTTCACGTGTACGGGAGCAATCTTACATCCCCATACAAAAGAAATCATTCCCCGAGATCAACAAACAAACAACACAAAGACGCTTCATGGCTCACGCCAAAGCTCCACCATCTTTCAGACTGCAAAGACTATTGCAATTTAATCAACAGGTAAGGAGAAAGCGACCCAATGAGCATTGCGATCACGGTAGAAGAACGATGTGGATTTTAGCTGTAGTTCCTGATGGCTTTTAGGGGGAGAATGTTATGTAATGTTGAGAAGGGCGAAGGGATTTGGTGATGAATCAGTTGAGTACTACGTTGCAATGAAAATAAGAGCACGGCTCTTCGGATTTCGGCGTGCCATTTGGGTTTTGAGGCTAAATTGCAAATTGAAATTGGCGACTTGTTAGCTCCCAGTAGTTGAGATTAAACACACGAAGAGGTTTTTGGATTACTTTTTCCTTCCCATTTCTTTTCAGCTATTTCAATCTGTGTTGCAATGGGTTGTGCGCAAGATAATATCCAGAATGTAGCAATATCGTTTTTTTGTGTTTTCTTGTACATTCAAGTTAAGCCGCGAGGCGCCTTTTATTTGCATTGTTTATGTGTAAACCGGTTGCACTGCGAGCTAAAGTAGCTAAACGGCGCATAACTAAAGTTGTAGAAAGTTTCATTAGTGTGTAGGCTACTGTTTTTGCGTAAATGATGCTTCAAGCTGAATGGCGCTTTCCACACAAACTTCGAAAACTTTCCGTGACTGATGTACGATAAGAAAACGCGTAGGTATGGCAACGCACTGAACGTTACACTTCATTTTCCACATACAAAGAGGCGCAGGTTGTTTACATGACAGTCCATGGTCTTTACGGGGTTTTTTTTTAATCACTATTTTGCGTTTTTATTCGAAGGCAGGTAGCGAAAAGATGTATTTCTGTTTCACTGCGTTCTTCGAGGCGATGGAGACGTGCAGCAAGTTTCTGAGGAAAAGTTTATGAATAGCGGTAACGTTAACGAGCTCCTGACTTTATACGAGTCCTATTCTCTCATTTGGAAGTGCGTTTTTGTTCATATACAACTAATGGTAACACTTTTTATTTGTTACAGTAACTGTGTAGACAACTTTCGCACTTAGGTGTGTTTGGGGGGCTGTAGTTCACAGTTTCTTGCGGCGTGATGGCGCTTATCACTTTCCAAAACGTTTTGACAGAAGTTCAAGGAATTTAAATAGCTCTGTTTTATTCCTCAAAAATGAAGGCATATTTATTGAAATTTTACTTTTTTTTTCTTGGCATGTACAGAAGTCGTTTTCCCCTTATCTTGTTGATGTTATTCATCAATAGAAACTTTTGTACAGACGACAGGAACACACTTCCAGTGTTCTAGTTATTTCCAACAAGTTTTAAGGTATTTGTGTGTGGTATATGTGAGTGTTTTCATATCCTATACAGTTTATAACATTGTTTAGATTGTGGGTTGTTGCAATGTTCCTCAGTTCTGCAACTGTGGTATTGTTTCCAGTTAATTTGGTTTTACAGTCACTTTCACATTAGAATATCATTAGTTAGTGGGTGGAAACAAGTATTCATCTTAAAACTGATAAAATCACCCACACTTCACTTAAATGTGCTGTACTGAAGCGTAACCTGTATATGATTGTTATGATACAAAATCCCATGTTGGTTCCAGTAGATGAGTTGCGCTGTTTCCTGTAAACTGTGATAGTTGCCACACTCGGGCAGTCTGGAAATGATATGCTCTCTTTTTCTTTCTGAAATGGTTTGTCGGTAAAGGTTTCTTAATGACGAAACCTGTGCAGGCAAATGCATCTTATCATTTAGAGAAATGTAGAGAAACTCACAACTGTAAACATAGTTTCAGAAACAGTCAATAGAGAATCTCAGCTCTGTCATCATCAGCCTACTGCAGTTGCAATCACTTTATCTTAACTCTTTTTGCAGTTACATGACTATTTTTATTCTTTGAAGATTAAAAAAAAAAATGTCTCCCCACTTTATTTTCGTGCATGAAATAGTTCATTGTCATTTTACATGTAACAACCTAGAGATCAGAAGAAAAATCTCCGTCTGCTTGGAATATTACTTAATTCCTTGTTCATCGTAAACACTCAAATATGTGAATTCGTTCTTGCTATCCATTCAGCAGTTTACTAGATTCAGTTCTCAGTCTACACCGAAGAATAAGATCCACATGAGTTGTCTGATAAGGGGCGTTTGAAGTGATTGAAATGCTTGAGGTGTATTTGAAATGTAAATGACTCCACATCTGTGAGTTCTTTGGAGAGAGGCAATAGATCAGTGCTGTATAGTCAGGAACTTTACGGCTGACAAATGAATTTGGGCCTTGGTGGAGATAGAAAGCAGCAGTGGGGGTCTTCCATTTGTTCTTCGTGGCTTCTGAGTTTGCACAACTTCTTTTTGGGCTAACTTCTTGCTGCACTGTGATTTGCCACTTGTGTCCCTGCGGCAGATTCATGTGGCTCTGGTGCTGTTGAATAAGAAGCCTGTAGAGAAAATACATTGTAGGGGACTTTTTTTAATGACAGAGATATAGAATGGATCTCGCTAACATATTAAATCCAGGTGTTTGCTTGCAAAGAACATATTGTAACTAGCTGATGACTTCAAAGTATTGTAATTTTTACTTTTATAGGTTGTTAGAAAATGACCAGATGATTATTTTTGTATATATTTTTATTCATTTGTTGGTTCAAAGTGAATATACACGTATAAAAACAAAACAAAAAAAGCTATAACAATATAAAAATAAAGAAATACATGTTGCAAAGAATATAGCACTTAAAATTCAGAGTTTTTTTGGCTAGATTGAATAAGATTTTTTGTGTGATTAAAACTTGTTAAAATTATAATATTTTTTTAAATAAGTTTTATGGAGCGGCATAGTATTTTTTCCACTCCCTATATACGGCGACAGGCAAGACTGCAAACTACCATCACTGCTTGTGTTTTGAAATGACGCATCAACGACTTTATAGAAATTCCTTTGTTTTGTTTCTTGTGGTTAGAATTCTCCAAACATGGGAGACAGGAAACTTTAGAATTTTCTTTTGTATCCGCCTGATGAAATGCCAAGGCTTACACAGAAACAGCTCCTAATAATTGGTACCCTTAAAAGCTTTTTTAACATATTTGATTTAGCTTGCATATGAATAGCTAGTCTTTTTTCCTCTGGATTTTCAAGAATAAAAGAGCCACAGTTCACAGAGGTCATCCCTTGTCTCATCATATGCTTTTCATCCTGTTTTGAAGTCACTAAATGGCTCTGGATGTGTGGTATATAGACTTGTTATGGTGAGTTATAGCAGATATGTTGCAAAGACTTGCCTTCTTCATGGATTTTCTCACTAAACTTTCATGCAATATGAATGGGTTTGAAGAGAAATAACGAGAAATGTGCATTTTTGTGTGAGTGAACTCACTTTGGGGTGGTATATGATTCTAACATTGAGAAGGTTTTTGTCATCCAAATTAAGTGCTTTAAATTTAAGTGTTTCTTTTGTTAGAAGAAATCTTGTTCTCTTCCCTTTTTTTTTCCTCACACCCTGTGTGGGAATTAAACAAAAGGACCTTTGACCTGTGGTGTCATAGCAACCTCCTTTATCCGGTGAAAAACTATAGGTTTAGCTTCTACACATATTTATTAATATTATATTTTGATGGCTAATTTCTACATGTCACAAATGGAACTCAAGTGTATTTAACAACTCCTCCAGATAAGAGACGGTTTGGGTCTCTGACTCTGTCAGAGCTGTTTGACATCACTTGTTAGGCTAATTATGGCGCGTGTAATATTTTAGTGGTTAGCGTACATCTGGTAAAGTTTGCTGACTGAAAACTCTTGTATTCCCAGTAGAGTGGTAGGTTGCACTGCAAACGAAGAAAAAGAAATCGAAGTTCCCCTAAATCTTCAATCTTACTCATTAACAAAAACGTACTTTTTTTCTGAGGAATTAAAAAAAACTGACATTGTACTGAATATGCAAGTTAAAGTGATGTGTGATGGTAAACCTTTTATTGGTCGGATGTGTTGACATTTTGCCTGCTTGTGGTTTTTCAAAGCTAGGTTCCAGGTAGGTTTGCTTTTCATATAAGCTGACTTTCCTGAACTTCTATACTAAAATTAGAGTATCAATAACTATTTATTAGGTTAAAAACACTCGTCTTGTTAGCCTAGCTTTATCCCGCAAATGTCCGTGCTCAGCTTCATATCAGAAACTTTCTGAAAGTTTTCAGTTTAGATCTTCCAGCAGTGCCCACTTCCTCTCCTCCCCATTCCGACGTGCTGAGTTTAGTGCGTCCACCGATCCTCCTGTCCGCCGGCCCCTCTGGAACGTTGATGAGTCAGTTTAGCCTTCTTTTTCTTTCTCTCTTTTCCTTTCTATCACAGTGTGTGTTCTTTTGCCTCGCAAACGGGTTTTCGCTTTGCTTTTTGTGTCTTTTTTTTCCTCTCCATCTCACAGTGGCTGAATGTTCTCCATCTGTGTGGTCTGGAGGCTGGTGCGGTTGACTATTGCTAACCTGACACAGGTTGGACAGAATGAGTCGAAGAAAAGGTTTGAGGAGGGGAGGGGGGGAGTTTTCCTTGAGAATGTTTGTTTTCCTGTTTCCAATTTGGTCGGCCAGAGGGCCCATACTGTCAGAGCTCCCATTCATGAAACCTGCTGTCAGACTGCCTGAGTACATGCCACAGGATTTCTCTCTGCTCTCTATGCGTGTATTGCAGTGTCCATGTTGAGCTTCTTCCAAGATTCTGAGTCTTTTGGTAGATCGTGCTTTTTTTTTTTTTATTGTTCGTTTTTTTATTTTATTTTTTTGATTCCTAAACGTTTATTCAGTGAGTGTTAATGTGTGGCTTTAATATTTTGACTTTCCCTCTTAAAAATGATTCAAAAAGTGCTGTTTACACAGAGCACTTCCTTATTACTAAACGTGCGTTTTTGTTTAGTTACAGTGATCGAGAAGAAGGGCATGGTGTGGTCACCCCTCGCACCCAGGATCATCTGCACCCGTGAGGTCTTCTGAGAAAAGGAAGTACAGGACGGCGCATTTTACAAGCAACGCATGTAGAGCGAGTAAACTTTGTGAACACTGTGGGAAAAAATGGAATGATTTCCAGGCCAGAATGGATGTGGAATAAAGGATACCTCAGTGGGCTCCTCAGGGAAGGGTCTTTGGATACTCTGACAGCTTTGATATCTGCCTACCTGTTGGATTTGAGTGTGATAATGCTATAACCCAATGCTTAACAGAGGTATGTATATGTGCGATTGTGTGTTGCAAAAGCGCAGGGATTTCTGGCAGCGTGTGGCATTGTGGTTTTCGATGCAATTCATGTTGCAAGTCTTCTAAACTAATACATCGGATTAACAGGGAAGGACGTGATTCTTGTCTTCAGGATTTTGATGGTGTTGTGTTTGAGGGTGATGTAGCTTTAAAACTTTATTTATGGTAACTTTTAACCCAGTCTTCCTGTAGTTCAGGGCAGTAATCTAGACCGCTAGATAGCTCAAGCTGTTAAAGTGCTTTGATCTTCAGTAAGGCCATCATCCCCTGCTTTGGCGTTTATTATGTGGAACAGTAGAATTTACTGACTTTCTTTTCCCTGACTTTTTTTGACTGTCTGTGGGTTTTCTCCAGGGTAATAAGATAGGCCACACAAGCAGTATTTTTTTAGTCTGTGGGGGCTTTCTTTGAGCTGTACATTTGTGGACCAGGTGATACTGTGGTCTGGTATTCTTCTCTGCCACTGTGTTTGTGAAACGCTGGACTCGACAGACTTCCTCTCAGGAGATATTTCTGCATCGCTCATAAAATTATGCAAAGTAGCACATAGATAAAATGAAGTCTGTTTTTGTGTGGTTGATTATGTCATCCAATAGTTCTGGTCAAACATTGATAGTTTTTTTTAGATGTTTGACATGTTTTTGCATTTGTTGGTTTTTGTGTTTTAAAGTTGTTATGATGCTCAGTTATTTAGATGCGTCATAAATCGTTATAATTGTATTAAATTAAAAGTGTTATTAGGAAATACCGTTAACACTCCTTTTCGGCTGAGATTTTAATTTTAAAAGTGGTTTGCTACTTGCTCTTTACCGCACATGATTTTCAGTCTCAAGCTAATTAACGTAGAAATGCAATAATCTGAACTTCTAAGAGCGGCCGCATTCTTTGTGGTCTGGGTTGCGAGCAGTAGTCGTTCTTAAATGAGGTAATCTGAGAATGTGTCATAGTGGACTGCTTTCTCCTGTGCCAAAATGTATAATAAACGACCTGTAACGGCCAGTGATTAGGGGATCATGCCTTTGTGAACGTTGCCACAGTGGAGGCTTCTCTCCTGTGCCCTGCTGTTTCAGCAGATTTGCGTAATATTAAACATATGCTATATTCTCCAGTCTGGATTTCAGGGGAAAACCTGCTTGTGTGCAAACGCACATCGCACTGGGATGGTTAAAATGTGCTTGTGCTTGATGGTTTTGGTTGTTGTATGCTTAGACGTGGGGGAGATACTGAATGGCAAGATTAACCCTGGATGGATCCTTCACCCAGAACTCCGACACAGGCTTCTAGGTCAAGGGTCACCTGAGATCCCTGAGTGCTAATATGGGGGTCCAGGGGCCTCTGATGGGGCTTACTGGGTTGTATTGCGTTTGGTCAACATTTTTTCTTTTTTTTTTTTTTAAAGAATTTGTTGCCTGTCTTTTTCAGCATTTTGATGTCTTTAGTGCAAATATTTTTTTTTATATTCAGCTTTTATTTATTTTAAAGACTTTACATTTTACTAGTTGAGTGCATATTTTTAAAATATTTTTTTCCTTCAGTTTTCACTTTTTTTATTTGAATAATAAAAAATATATTAGGATGCTGGGAAGGTTGTAATATTTACTTAACAGCTTTTGTGTTAATTTAGTCATCTGCTTTCAAACGTGAATTGATCTGTTTTCATGACTCGGTTGCAGTTTTATAAGACCCCATATTTAAAATTCTCACCCCTTTTTTGCTAATTTAATTTTAATTTGCTTTAAAAATGTGTGTATTTGTTTTAAAACCATGCGTGCAACCCAGACTAAACCCATAAAAGCTAAAGCATGGCTGTCCAGCCGATGATTCTTTACTATGATTTACTGATATTACGCATTAAGCAGCATGTGGTGTGTTTGCACTTAAGTAGCCTGTATTTTCAAAATGAGGACTTTTTGATCTCTACCCACTTTTAATTGCATCTAACCTACAGTATAGACTTTACTCATATCCTTATAGGTTCAGCTATTATGCACTGGAACATCTCTTTGACTCGCATGCCCGTTTTTGGGTATAAACATGGATTTATGCTATGAGTTAAAGCTTATGCTTATTACTTGTACCTTGCTTTGTATAATTTGGTTGAGTTATGGTGGGGAAATTTGAGTGGTCTGCATAGTTCTCCAGTAGGTGCCTGTGTGATGTATAGCGTGCCAGTGTGCCGAGGGAGGCAGATTTCCAAATGTTTTCATAACGTTCATTTAAAAGTCTGATCATTTGCCTCCACCATTTCTCGGTTTTGCAGTGCATATAGAAATGTGTGACGCAGCAAGACCTTAATCAGCGGTATAGTGCTCAAAAACCAGTTTGTTACTGTTGAGGAATATGATGGCTCTTAGAAAAAGGCTTTTCATTTGCAGGTATAAGCGCATTTAGGAACATGCTGTAATGCATTTTTAAAGTCATTGAATCTTTTTTTTTTTTTTTTTTTCCAGACGTGGAATTAGTATGCGAGCACGAACTGGTTGCCACTGCAATGGAAATTCCAAATCTCTATGCGTTTCAGGCCTGCTAGATAAACAGCAGAGCCTTTACGGACTGAGAGGTGTCGGTCGTGAGTGCGCCTAATGAGACTCGCTAGTTTGACTCCAATTTCTGCCTGTAAGAATACGGTAAGCCGGGTTATTACAGAGTTTTGAGATAGTTGCAAAACGACAGTAATGAGAGAGGACCGAGGAGTGAACCTGCTGGCGAACGGCGAGGAATGGGTCATATCCTCCTGCCAATTAGCCTGATGTTCCTCCAGTCGTATGGCACCTTCTTGCAGTAACCCCAAACCGGCACCAAACTAATCTAATTAGATCGAGAGAACAAAAATGATCCTGGATCACTGGCAGAACGCACAATAAGGGAGCAATTTATTCTCGCATGGTGTTAAAAAAGGAGGGAATGGTTGAGTGCAGGCCTGTTGTTTTTAGCGGATTGTTTCTGCGAGGCCTGCTCCATATGGTGTCGGAGAGGGGAAAAAAGCCCCGGAGAAGGGGGTAAAGAACAAGGGGGCAGAGAGCTTCAGTGAAGCTGCAAAAACAAAACTTCTCCAGTCAACCCTCTCCAAATTAAAGGGTAATGCCGAGCACACCGCACACTCAGGAGTTGTTTGTTTAAAAAGCCAAACTGCATTAATCAACGTCTTCATCTTCATCGCTAACAGCATGATTAATCTGCTGTTTTTCCTCCCCGCCATTCTTTTTTCTTTCTTTCTTTCTTTTTTAAAGTAATTGCCAATCCAATGAGCAGCTTTGACAGAGTGCTCCTGACCAGATTGTTCACACATTGAGTGATTCCTGCTCAGCGTCAGTGCACAGCAATATTATGCTTTTGGTTCAAAGCCCAGGTTCAGTTGAGTAGTGTAATACTGATCGTATTACTTGTTTCAGATACAATAATGCAGCTACTTTAACCTGCAATAACTCTCTGCAACATTTGCGATCTTCTCCCTTCAGACCCTCTCAGAAATACCCTGTTGGCCAACTTTAACTTAGCTGAATAGCGCCTGGAGGCCATTGACAGGAGCTTCATGTATCCTGGCCGTGTCTTTGGCAAACACAAACAGTAGCCTTCTAAAGATCTCTCCATTTGTTTAGCGGAAGTCCCAGAGGCTTGTTACACTCCCCAACCCCCTTCTCTTGTGGCTATCAGATGTTTATCCTCTACAAGGAGGGCAATTTACAAATGTAAGTGTTGTCACAACACAGGAGGAAACAAAAGGCGTCACGTCAGGCAAGGATGCACCTCAGTGTAAGAGCGCCATTATTTTGCAGATTAGGAGGGTTCAGGTGAATGTGGGAGCTTCTCTTAGTTTCACGTTGTGGGAAGGACTGAGGCCATCCAGAGTGGCACAGCTACTGTTTGCTGTGATTTGGCTCACTCCGTTCGGACTGGAGTTCAGGTCTCTCAGATGTCCAGACTGTGTACTTGATGATCAAAGATAGGTTTAGATGTTGCATAATTAAACCTCAAATTATGCTGTTGAGATTTTCTAGTAGGGTTCTGATAAAACAATAAAATATGGTATTTATGGTCGGGTTTGTTTGTCTTTTTTTCTTGTACTAGTAGTGTTTGATAACTTAGCGCTTTCTTAAGCAGATTTAATTTGAAAGTGCTTTACGTTTGATTTCAGGCTTTAAGCAATACATTTTACACTGTTCCCTAACCAGGCATGACATAATAAAGCAAGTGATAAAAGTGATTCTCCTATGGACAAATTTCAAATGTGTTCTAATTGGCTGTTATCCAAGTATTTTTTGACTATGAACTGAAAGGGAAAATGAAAATACTGTCATTTACTCCCCACTCGTGCCATTCTAAAACTGTATTACTTACTTTCTTCTAGGGCTGCACGATTAATCGCATGCGATATTTAACGCGCATCTTATCAGTAAAGCCGGTTCTGTAATCAGCGGTAATTCTCCATCACCTGCGTGCTTTCGTGGAACACAAAAGAAGATATTTTGATAAATGCCTAAATGTTTTTTTTTTTTTTGTCCAAACGATGCCAGCCAATGGGAACCAAAACTGTTTTGTTGCCAACATTTTTCTAAATATCTTCCTTTGTGATGAGAAGAAAAAGTTATACAATTTTACAACATGGGGGTAAGTAAATTGTTTAATTTTTGGGTGTATTATACCTGTACTGTCGCCCATATGTTACACGGCTTTCAGAGTCATTGGATTGCTGTCCTTTTCACACAGCTGCCAATGTCAGTTTCAGTCAAAACACATTTAACACTACAGGACTTAAATCGCAGACAGATCTTGATATTTAACCTGCTAACTCGGTGGTTCCCAAAGTGGGTGCCGTGACAACTGGCTAGGGGTGCCGCAGAATCTTAGCTTTTTTCCAATTTAAACAACCTAAAATAACTATTGTACCATATAATAACCTTTTACAGTATATATTTAAAAAATAGCCTATATCAAAACACCAATATATGAGCTTGTCCAAACGAAAAC